ACTAACAAGTATGAATGAACTAATATATAGTAAATCAAGTCGGTGCATGCAGTGCAAAAAATAACAGCAAATATTTGCATATGCATTGGCTTCTTGAATACAACAACAACAAATAATTAAAAACAAAAATGACTAAAAAATATTACAATGTAATGCCTGCTTTTATTGTTGGTGTGTTATTGTATTAAGTATAATGCTTAAATGCCATTTTCACTTTTCATTCATAAAATCATTTATACGCGTAGTGAACAAAAACAAAAACAATAACTAGAGCAAAAAAGCTTTGACGGCGCGCGATCTGTTCTCTAACCACTAACCGTGCTAACTGCGGCTTTAGATTGTCATAAACACGTCACACACACACAACGCCACACGCAAATGCACATATGTATGTAGGTGCGTGTGTGTGTACATCTGGGCAGACGGGCATGCAAAATATTCACACTTGCCGCCAACCACACTCTCTAGTAGTCCAATCAAATTGAGAATTTATACGTCCAAATCCCGCTTGATCTCCACTTGATCCCGAGTGGATTAAAGTGGCTGAGTGCTTGTAATGTTTTTAATCGTTTTGCGGTTGCCCGGTGAGCATTATTAAAATAATAATTTACTTTAATGTAGATTTTTATTTGAAAACGACAGATTTTGCTTAATTTAAAGTCGCTTTGATGTGTGCGAATTATACGCGTTTGCGTTTGTGTATGTGTTGATGTTAAGTAATGAGACGGGAATTTATGAGTTCTTAACCAATCAACTGCAAGCTGCTTATTTTGGGCAGCACACACACACACACATAAATTACAAAATTCATCTGTTTGAGTTGGAGAAATTTTTAAATATATTTGGAATTTATGTTGATAGGCGATAAATAATCTCGACATAAAATTTATTTCCAAAATAAAAATTTTTCACACACATATTTTTGTATTTGTGGCGTCGCTCATTGCTTAATTTCAAATGTGGCAACCTCTAAATTCATATAAAGAAATTAATTTATTGTTGCAATGTCAAATTTGTTGCTTGGGGCTTCACATTTTATGCCGTTTATGTTTACAAAAAGTTTTGAAAAAAAAATATGTATGTGTATATAAAATTAATATGTTGTAAATGTATTATATACATATGTACATACACTGGTGGGCCAAAAACTTTTTAAATTTTTTTTCTGAGAAATATTGCAAATTACATAATAACATTAATGAAAATTAACAATTGTATAACATAATATAATTTTTATAATTTTTTATTCGCCCTAATACATTATTATAATATACTTTTTCAACGAATATTTATCGAAAAAAAAACAAAGTCATACACAATGAGTTTGTGAAAAAAAATTCGAAAAAAATACTTTTATCATATAAGATTGAACTTTAACCTCACACAACTTTCGAATGAGTCGATTTAACAAAAATTCAGAAATCGTTAAATTTTCTATAAGAACAAGTTTTACTTTTCATTATACAATAACGCATTTATTATTCATCCAAGCAAAAATAAAAAATATTCATATGTTCTTTATGTGGGAAATCAAAACTATCAATGCACCATTATTTTGCATTCTAAATGCTAATGTCTTGTTAAAACTATACCATATAACGGGTGATCCAACTCGAGATACATTTCTCAGTAGCCTTGAGAAGTGCCAAGAAGCTAAGACGTTTGCGAATCAAATTTTGTTCAGCGATGCTTCACAATTCTGGATTATTGGAAATGTAAACAAACAAAATTGCCACTTTTGGGACGAAGAGCAACCTGAAGAGATTCAAGAGCTGACATTTCGTCCAGAAAAACAACGTTTTGGTGTGGTTTGTGGGCCGGTGTAATTATTGATCCGTACTTCCATAAATATGATGCCGATGAGAACGTAACTGTCAATGACAACAGTTTCCGCGAAATAATAACCGACTATGTGATACCTGAAATTGATGCTCGTGCTCCCAGTGACATTTAGTATCAACGAGACCGTGCCACTTAACACACAACGCATCAATCAATGGATTTATTGAAAGAATACTTCGGTGAGCAGATAATTTCGTGTTTTGGACCGGTCTATTGCCCACCAAAATCGTGTGATATCTCACCGTTAGACTTTTTCCTGTGGGGATATGTAAAGTCTAAAACCTAAGCGGAAAATCCCGTTCGATTCTGGCCTTGAAGCAAAATATCACGCTTGTCTTTCACCAAAAACCTGTCGAAATGCTCGAACGAGTGATCAAAGATTGAACTCAATGGATGATCTGAGACGTAGTCGCAGCCAACATTTGAAAGAGATAATCTTTAAAAGATGTAAGAATGTTTCTTTCGAATGTTAATAAACTATCCTTATTAAATTTGAAGTTTCAGTGCTTTTAAATGGATCACCCTTAATAACCAGTATGTCTACTTAAAATCCGAAAAAATGTATTCTTATTGTTAATTATAATTTTAAATAGAAAACAGCACTCATTTTTAATTTTGACAAAAAAACAAGTCAGAAAATCGTCAAACAATTTATTTCTGCAGATTTTTTTTGACAAATGATATTTTGAAATGTTCGAATTTTGTCATTGAAGAAAAAAAATTTGGTGAAATATATTTTTGCAGATAGTTGATTTTTATTGGCGTTTTGACCTGTGCTCGATGCGTTCTACCATTAATTATACCATTTCATTATCATATTATTTCTACCACCACCACTGTTGCTATCTGCTTTTGTTTTCTTTTACAAATATAAATGTATTCGTTGGTTTACTTTTCAAATTTGCACTGTGTGATATAGAAATATCTATTTTTGTTTTGACATAAAATATTCACAAAAATCATGTTTTATGCTAATAAAATATATAAATATTATTTATGATAGGATCACATATGTTTATGAATTCAAAAATATATATGTAATTTATAGAATTTTCAATTTATAAGTTCAGTAAATCAGTTTTGGAAGGAAACTCAAAAAAAGACGCTGAAATATGAAATTTTATTTACTCAGAAGAAATGCTGTTAAAATCAGAAATATTTATTTGTCGGAATTCTACTTACATACATATATATCAGGACATTGGAAAATGCATGAATGATGGAAAAAAAATCAGAAAAAAAACTCATGTATCGTTATCTCTTATTGTTGCCGCCACAATACTTTTCAAAATACGCTACTCGTCGTTGTAATTTCAAATTGCTAAGTTGTTAAAACCAAATAATTTTTTAGTCAGAAGTCCACATATCGCGTTGTGAAGATAGATTATAATAAAAAGAATGTTAATTAAGAACTGCAAAACTATTATTGACTGAGTAACAAACTTAAAATAATGTAAGACCAACACTTATTAAAATATTTTTTTTGTTATTCACGATGTAAGCAAAGCAGAACGTAACCAAACCTTAAAGAGCTTATATAAAAAAATTTCGTTTGTGATGAGGCTTAAAAAATACATGATCAACCAATAAAAAAAAAAAAAAAAAAAAAAAAATGTATGTGGAACCCCAATTTAAAATTACATCACACGAAACTTAATACTAGCAGCAGGCCCATTCTATATCTACAATTTTAGAACTGTTGACTCTTATACGAGGAACAGACTTCTTCACATTAATCCACAGATGTGGTAATATAATAAGACGCCAGCGGCAAATACAAAGGAACAAGTCAAGTACATACATAATCAGATACTTCATTCACCAAAATATGGATTAAATACGTAGGTTTTGAATTATTGTCGCATCCATGAAAAACTTGGAAATTAAGTACACTTAGAGGTGGTTTCAGAGGCAGTTTATTTCATAGATGTATAGTTTTGGAGTATGAGATCATCTTTTTCATTCGGACTTCTTCTTGGAAAGCCATGTTTTACCATATTCGAAACAGCTTTAGAATAACAAGATTTTGAAACCATGGAATTGGGCTATGACAAGACGAGAGTAAACGTTGGTTTTTAGACTCTTTCGAGTGGCGAGTTTCGCAGCAGCTTCAACGTTAGAATATGTATTATATATTTCAAAACTTCGGCTTCAGAGCTCTGACCAAACGTAAGTATCAACTGTGCCATGAAGAAAAGATTAAAAAGTTATTGGGAGGCAAATTGGCGAGAAATAATATTAAAACTTCGATTCTTTCAGGTTTCTAGTCTCAAACTCCGGTAAAATCGCAGCAGCTGTAACGATATGTTAACCCGGATAATCAAAACTCCAGTAAACGGGCTGTAAATAGCTGTCTCACAAGAAGATTGAGGTCTTCTTGGCTTTTAGAAATAATAATATAATAGAAATTAAACAAATAATATTAAAATTGTCACTCTAGAGTCAAAACTTAATCGCTGAATAAATCGTAGTAAAAACAAAGATTTATGAAAAGTTTTGAAAAACTTTAGAGACTGTAGAGAGAATATTCGAAGTTTTCACAACTGGCTTCACATAAATGAATTAAATTTTTTTCTATATTTGCTGTATTTCTAATGAGTCGAAAGCTTTAATATCTAAAATGATCTCAAACAGTTCAACCATTGATTTCAAAAAATAAATATAAATTTGTGTTAGAGGTTTTCAATCAAAAATGTAGTTGAGACCACTATGGAAAAGTAAAAAGTTTAATGTCAATATTAAATTCTAAAAAAAAAAATAATAACATGAACTGTCAATAATTTCGAAATCTGTCCAAAACAGCTGTTGGATTTTGCGAGAATTCCCCAATCTGAGAAATACACTCAGAGATATGATTTTTGGCGACGGCTTTTTGAATAAAATTTTATATAGTTGAATTTTGTTGTTGAGACTGCCGATCATAAAAGCGGACTCACATATTTTGCTTTAGCAACATATTTTATAGTAACATATTTATAAGTAACAGTGAGTATCAGCTGTTTCACAAAAATAAACTAAGCTGCTTGATAATTTGCTATTTGATGAATGTTTTTTTGAGGAAAATATCACCGCATTTAAGTCACGTGCACTGCCTGACCGGGTGCAACAAATCAAGTTGTGTGTGGAAAATTTATAATATAAAAACTGGCAAATCTTACCTTTAAGCACAAGGTGGCCGATATCAGCGTTTAATCCACTTATAATGAATCGAACTGGCTGACAAGTTTTCGAATTTTACTACTTGTGTTATATAGTTTGTATTATGCTTTTGACTTTTTGTAGTTGTAATAGTTGATTTGTGTATTTCGACGCACTAATTTACTGTCACTGCACATGGGTGTTAAACCGACGGGTCGTGAGTGCTTGAAGAGGCATAAATCAAATGGCACAACGCGGCGACAATTCGAAATTGTAAATGGAAATTTATGGGCGTATGTGAAAATAGCAGGAATTTCAAAAACGGAACGTGTGTTGTTGTAGTTTTTGGTTGTTTTTTTTTTAATTTTTTTTAATCTTAATTAAATTTTTTTTTAAATTTTTTTTGGGGTTAATTGCTTTTTTTAGTGTTTTTTGGAACGAGTTTTTTGCTGTTAATTTTTTTTTAATTTCACGCAATTTTTTTTTTTTTTTTTTTTTTTTTTTTTAAAGTTAGCTAAATTTTTTTTTGACACTTTTTTGACTTTAATTTTGTTTTTTGACTTTAATTTTGTTGTAAATTTCAATACTTTTTTCAAATGTGTCACAATTCAATATTTGCAGCTGCTGTTTATTACTGTAAATATTAGTATGATTTTTTTGTTTTTGTTTTGTATTTCGTCGAAAAAAATTCTCATTCACTTATCCCCAAAATAACAAATTATGTAGCCAAGTGCTTACGCAGAGCTTAAGCGCGTTAAAGAGCTTTAGTTTTTTATGCTTAATAAAAAACACACTCCCACATGCATATGCGTAGTACACATACAGTTCAGCTGCACACTCTTTAGTTTAGTTAGCTTTGTTCGGGGATTCGCACTGGCTTAGTCTTCTAATAATTTAAGCCGTTCGCGTAATTAGGCTAAGCTGTAGATGCTTTTAATTCACAATTCTTAATACACGACACGGACACACACTCACACTAACGCAACTGTGTGAGGAATAGTTGTTATTGTACAACACTTGGAAGAATTTGACTTTTGTGACGGAGCGCACGTTTGGCTGAATGAAGTGTAGCAGCAGCTTGTATGGCGACAATCACAGTGGTAGCGGAAAACGGAAACGCGTCTGCTTTGGTAACGAGACGTATCTGAATTGAAATCAAATTTGAAACGCAAATGTATCGACTGGATGAGTAGTGGATATGTACACCACAAGTGCGAGTACGAGTGTCTATATATGTATGTGTGTGTGATTGTGATTGTGTACCAGCAAATGATGGCACATTGCGCGCGAGTGTATTGCTGCCGCTGCTGCTGCTATGCTGGGCGCTTTTCGGCTATCGAGCGCGCGCACACACAACAAGCACCCTAATGAAACACGCGCGCACAGACACACGCGCAGGAGAATAACAAAATATATACAAATATCAGTTACAAAAATAACACACAGCTTGGCGTATGGCGTGAGAGAGTACGAACACGCGCAGCGCAATGCTGCTGCTGCTGCCACTAGTCCCAGTATCTACTAGTGGTGCTGCTGTTGCTGCTATTGTTGTTGTTGCTCTTGCTATTGTTGTAGAATGGGGCGGACACTGTCCGTGTGGCTGCTGCTGATGCGCTGCTGCTATCACCACCCCTTATTACGTATATTTCCCACACTGTTATTGTTTTTATTATTATTGTTTTCTTTTGCTGTTGTTGTGGCTGAATGGAAATCACCTTTTGTTGCTGAACACACACTTTTCAGCTTCACACAAAATTATTGGAAAATTCAGCAAATTCACTGCTTCAACGCGCCGTTGGTACGCGGCAAGCGAAAATATTCAAATACACTCTGCTTGGCGGTGCGTTCAGCGCGGCATGTATACTGTACGATTACACTGGCGCAGTGGAAAACAACGAACTGATTTGTGAAATTCCGTTTAGCAACGCGCTAGTCCAACAAGCGAGCGAGCGACTCGGCAACACAAATATCTTATCAGCGCACACACGCGCATATACATATATGAATATATATATAAATATATATGCGCTATCGATCGTGCCGACTAAACGGGCTTGCAGTGGTGCGAGCGCGCTAACTATATACAACGCAATTAGAGTGTGTGCGTGTGTGTGTAAATTCTGATAAGAAATTACCGCAACTAATAAGTGTGAGCACGCAAATGTCAGTTATGTGCAGCCGGCAACAGCATGCGCGCTCGCTCTAGCAGCCGCAACGCGCACGCACTCAAAGCGCCTTTCCGCCTCATTGGACACACCCGCCACCTCAAACGATATATTGATTACGCCGTTGTTCGGCAGGAAGTGCCGTAAACGCTGTGCAGAAGCAAACGCTATACAGCGCGCTGACTCTCTTTATGTCGCTCTTGCTCACACGCACGCGTTCACTTAAAATTATGTAAGGTTAGTGTGTGTCAGCGCTGCGCTCAGGTCCTATTTGCCATTGACTTGTCTCGCCTGTTTTTATTTATAACGCGCCATGCTGTGTAAACACACTTACCCCCTTTTGCTAAGAGAGCGCGCCTTGAAATACCAGTTGTTAGTATTATGTCTGTTTGTGGTTGTTGTTGCGCTGTCGTTGCTGCTGTTGCAACAAGATTTCCCGGCGCGTTTTCGGTGTTCATTGTACGTCACGCATAAGCATAGCCGATTTCCACTCAATTTCCAGTTTTACCGATTCCAACATCCTGTTTGGCATCGCAATCGAGCTGCCTCTCTTATCTATAGCTTCTTTAGTAGTACGTAGATGAGCAAAATCATCCGTTATTCGTACATGCAAATATTGTTTCTATAATTTCTATTAAATTTTAAATTCAGCTCTTATATTAGATACCTCAGCTAGCACCTATTTTTTATTAAATGCTCTCAGTTACTTCCACATAGCATGCGCTCTCTCACTCTCACTTGAAATATTTTTGTACCATACCATATTTTGCAATACACTTTAGGTACTTGTTTTTCCCATTAATTGGCGAGCCAAGCATCTCGAAAGCAGAAAAAGAATAAACTTTCGTTCCTTCATTCTTCCCACCGACGCCCACATTAAGCTAATACACTGACTAGCGGTGTCAAGGGCGTTTTGTTTTCCATTATTTTGTGAATCTCCGAGTGCTTGACGTGCCGTTACTTTTCTTCTATTTTCCCCAACAAGAAAGTATCTTTTACATGCTTACTTTTCTTACGTTTTTCAAATAACCCTTCAACCCCTACCCAGGCGCTGCGTTGCCGCTGAGTCTTTATTCATACTAACATACATGTATATAGTACCCACTCCCTTGCCACATTTGTATTGTGTACAAATAAATAACTGTTATTTTTTGACATATTCCATCCGCTTTGCGCTCAACTTGACTTCTTCTGCGCTTTCGTTTGCTTTCATTCATCGCCGCCGCTGCCGCCGTCGCTCGTTTGGCTCCTTCAACTTTTCGCTCGCTTCCGAGCGATCTTCTGCGTTCGTGCAACGGCGTTGCGGCATATTTGAAAGTCTTCTTGCGGCAGCGCGTTTATTAAAATTCAACGCAGCTCTTGTGGGAGTTCATATTTTTTAAGTCATTTCGTATTTTTATTGCCGCCTTATGTGCGATTTTATCACAACACTCGTCGTTGACTGCAAGAACAACAAGCGCACAGCAACAATCGCAGTCAACAAAGGAAGAAAAGTATAATAATGCTACACAAAAAAAAAAAATTTAGCGCTCAGCAATAGTTCCTTTCAAGTGGTCCAATTTTATTATTATTATTTAGGAATTATATATGTATGTATTTATATACAAATATATTTTAAATATACATATATATTCTATTACATATATGTTTGTAGTTATTACTTTCGCATTTCATCATAATGATTTCGCCGAGATGTTCGTCTCGAGTATTACTCAAGTATTATTTGGAGTTGCCAATATTACTACGTGCATTGAGCAGTGTGCTAAGTCGTTGTGGGGGCTTGTGCGGTACGGTATATTAGTGCTTATCTTCTAAGCAAGTAAAGTCATGGCAAAACGCTTTAATTGTTTTTAATAAATGTGAAAGGGCATAGTGTGCTGTTAAATAAATTAAATGTATTGACTGGAAAAATTTGATACGGCATTTGACCTTTGATTTTCACAAATATTAGATAGGTAATAAAAAACTATTTCCTAAAAAATCGTTTCGAAATTTGTAACACGTCGGAGAGCCTATAAAATATACATACATACAATAAATAGAGCTCCTCGTCTTTAACCGCGTAAGCGTCGTCTACGACAGTAAAGAAGAAGAAATAATGAGCTCAGTCAATTTAGCAATATTAGTCTGTCTGTATACCATGATACATATGTATATGCGTACTCGTCGTGTTTGAGTTATCGATCTAAAATTTTTCACACATATTTTTTGCCCGACAATGCTTAACACCATCGAAACCGCTGATGCCGGTCAACTAAAGCAAGGCATTGCATGAACACACTTTTGATTTGAGAAGATATCTTCACAAATTTGGCCTGGATTATATTATTGTCAAAGGCAAAATCACCGAGTGAATTCTTATGATCGGACTACTATACATATAGCCGCCGTACAAGCTAAAGGATCAAAATTAACACCTTGTATGGAAAATATTTTCTATGTGAAGGGTATTACAATTTCTGTGCAAACGAATTCAACAATTTTTCTTGCTCTCGATATCGGAAAATTATATACTAAGGTTGATATTTGGAAAAAAAACGTCATTGCTATATAACTCTCTCTATATTTGTCGCTATAAAATATAATAGTTAAATATGAACGTGTGAAGAGTTTTTTACGGTTTTGTAGTATTTAAGGATATGCAAAGCAGAAACATCATATGATGACTGATCCACCGAATGGAAGCTATATCCGTATTTCTATTCAGGAATTTATTTCAAGGTCTATGTGCACCAAATTAAATCAAATATCCGAATTTAATAAGACCGAACATCGTTAAATGTCTTCGTCTCATGATACGAAGCAAAAGTAGTTTGGTATAGAGATATTGTCTTATATCGGCAGATATGTGAACAAATTTGTTCTTTTGAAGCAACAGTTTGCGAGAGTACGCAAATGAATCAGCATATGGTATTTAGACTAGGGTAGATAATTTTTGAAAATAAAAAAATACCAGGATGAAACCCATCGGAAGCGAAAGATAAAGTAACAAACATTAAAGATAAAAGTATGGAAGGCCTAAATCAGGTGTAAACGAACACTTCATATTCTTGCAACTTTTATCAACGCTTAGGAAATAATTTCAGTTACACAATATTTGTATTTTACCCAGATTTTATTCATTCCAAGCACAAAAATGCAGCAGTATTAGAAAAACACGCTCCATCAACTTATTTAAAATAACTCACACATTTGCCGATATAAAGCGGTATAAAGCCAACCG